ACAAAAAACTGGAGGATAAATTAACGATAACAGCGACGTATCACGTGGACAATCCAAAATTGAGTTATGAAAGTTATGAAGTAAGCTGCTTGAAAAAATATTTTAAATGTAATTGATGTGTGGTTAAATCTGTGGTAATTAATTTGAACGATAAACCTTTTCAGTTAAATTATGGATTAATGGAATTAAAAGGAAAAATGATGAGCGAATCCGATCACGTAATTATGAAGTTGGGCATAACTTTTCATTTTGATGACGCGTCGTGTACCTCGAGTCTGACGGAATTCGATCTCAACCTGGGAGAATACGACTTCAAAATATCTGGATTTGGACCATTCGGTGGATTAGCGTCTTCGTTACTTTCTGTCTCACTGAGAAATGAGTTTGATGTAGTCGCTAAAAAGTTAATTGCTGCGGAAATAAAAAGAATCGATTGTGAACAGTTTAGGAAATTCCACTACGAATTGTAAATATTATACTGTGATAGTTCGAGTGACACATATTATTTTTTGTAAATAATAAATTCCTCAAAAATGAACACCAAATTAATTTGTTTCAAATTACTATGATTACAATAAATACACGGCTTATTATTATTCGCTCAAGATCAAGTTAAATACCATCATCCTATAGGTTTACAATTCCAAATTAATCGTGACATTCCAATGGACAAGTTTTGCTTTTTATTATCCAAGCTATTTCCCTTTTAAGTACATCAATTAAAAATTTTGTGTAAACGTAGGATTAGTGATTAATTCTTTCACGTTTAACCGAATTTATTTTTATTTTTTTTATTTTTCACTATTAACTTTATATTTTGCAGATGAGCAGCAACTGTCGTAACATACATTATTAATGAACTAAAGCGTATCGTACAATAGTATAAACGTTAAATATGATTTTAATTTTTCTAGTATTTTTATAGGACTGTTGGTACTACATCATAAATATTCCAAGTGCCCGTACGAGGTAAAAGTCATTTGATTATATTAATGTATACGTAATTCCTCACAACACAGATTTGTTGTCCATGTTTAAACAGTTGTAAAATTTGTTAAGATGATATAAAAGCCGCTTTTATGTGATCATCGTCAAGTATAAAAGCGCCCGGGTAACCGATTCGTCTTAAATTAACTCTGTATACGTCAAAATGTCTCCATTCCAATCATTATTTTGTATTTTGTTGCTGCAGACAATATCTCTGGCGTATTCCTACAGAGCAAGTAAGTTTTTATCATAGATATTAAAATTGTGTATCTAACTTTTTTCGATACTTAAATTTTTTTTCTTTTTTTAGCATGTCCAACAAACGGAGAATTGACTTTTAACTTAGAAAGACGTTTTCATTTGAAAATCAAAAAAGCCAATATTGACATTGACTTTGGGGACGACAGCTATCACGTCAGTGTTTGGGGTGATTTTTTGATATTAATTGAACCCGAACGTCTTCGAACTCGTGCAAATTTCACGACAAATCCCACCAGATGTGTGAAAGTAAGAATCACTTACTTAAATTGCCAATGAATGATTATTTTTTTCAAAATTTTCATTTAACAAAAATTATCAGAATTCCTTAAAACCATTTTCGTATTTTATCATTAGAAAGTCCACGAAGGTGAAAAGTTGAACAATTGCGTGATCGATAATTTTAATTTAAGGTAAAAAAAGTGTTCAAAAATTTTTTTAAATGAAAGTAATTGTGTCACTCCTCGTATTTTAATAATAAAAATTTATTTGGTATAGCTTGGACGCACCGGAAGAGATTAAACAAGCCATTGTTGAATTGACCAAGAATTGCATCAGTTTTTACACGTGTAAGCAATGCAACTCTAGATATCCTGCCGGACAAAGACTCCGGAGCATGAATAATGGCAACTCACAGGTGAGTCGTCGATTGCGTATACATGACAATGTACATCTGTCGTGGAAATAATTTGGAATAAAATGAATTTTTTTATTTATTTAGAATGAAATCAACGCAATGGCAGACTCCACCGTAGCTACGCTGATCAGTAGAAACGCGTCAAGTGACGGCAACATCTATCATGTCCCGAACATCAAGTCGAAATTCTCCACTGGTGATTCCTTTTGGAAAGTCGATGCTAAAATCCAAGTCCAATCTGGGATGATAAAGTAAGAAAATCTGGTGTACGAGAAACTCGTGCGTTTGATCGATCAAAAATCTAAAATCAATTATAAATTTGTAGAGGGCTGAAAGGACTGAAAAGAACTGCAGATGTAATTGTAAAAAATCAAAAAGCAGCGAAGAAAATGACCTTGGTACTGAAGTACAAGTGGACCAATCCGAGCTTGAGTTACGAGAGTTACAAAGTAAGTATAGCTTGTGCCGACATTTGGAATTAATATATAAAGTGAATAACGATTAATAAAAATGGTATTATTTATCAGTTGAAGTATGGTCTATTCAGTGTGGAGGGCGACGTGTCGTCAGCGGCCAGTAGCGTGGTATTAAAGCTAGGAATAACTTTCCACTTCAACGAGGCATCGTGTACCTCGAGTCTAACGGAATTCCACCTCAACCTGGGAAAATACGACCTGAACATATCTGGATTTGGAGTATTCGATGGAATTGTGTCTTCGATAGTTTCGGTCGCGCTGGTCAATCAGTTCGAGGTAATTGCTCAACAGTTGATAGCCGCCGAAGTCAGTACCATCGATTGCGAGCAATATAGAAAACTCCACTATGAGTTGTAAGTGTTTGTTGAATTTCTCGAGTTTAAATAATGTTACTCAGTTCATTGTTGCGTGAGTCGTTAAAAAAAAGGGTGAATGAATCCTTGAAGAACATATATTGTTAGCTTATTGTTTTAAAAGTGCCATATATTTGTAAGATTCATACTTTAAGACTTCATGGTTCATTCACGAGAAAACAATAAAAATATATTAAATATACTCCTTTGCCATCATTTTACAGACCTGATCGATGATACATTTGAAACAAAGATCGTTCCAACATCATTTGTATGACAGCAACTTTTTGGTCGCGTACTCTTTTGCATGGCTTGAACAAAATTTTTAATCGCATTAGTTTACCTCCGGAGTGAAAATGATATAAATTTATGTTAAAAACGTAGGAGCACGTGTTTTATGTCTGAAACGAATAGGAGTACGTAAATTCATTTTGACGTAAATCAACAACTGGCTGTAGCTCAATTAGTTATGTCTTCAACAGTTTTGAAAATCGGATCAAGATGAAAATGGCTTGTAGGAGAAATCCTTGAGACTTTTGTGTATTATTATTCCACTCGTGTATGAGCAGCGAATCGAATGCCATGCAAGAGTGGAGCTTCTATACATGTAGCAATTTATTAATCCTCAGCAAATATATTTATCAAGTGTTTTATATTCAGGCCATTTTTTGCAACTTTAAAATTTTACTTAAAGTTAAAAGTATATTTACTTTTATTTAAAAAATTATCAAAGTAGTATAATTAATACGTCAATTAATACTGACAAATTTATTAGATTATTTTCTACAATTTTTAAAAAACTAAATAGATTTTTTTACACGCACAGGATCATGCATAAAACTCTAATAAAACAAGAACTCGTTTTGGTCGTACAATTAACATTAAAGTTGTGAGTTTGTACAATTTTATTTAACAATCCATCAAAAGTCTATTAATTGAAAATAAATTATTTAATTAAAAAAATTAATATTGTGGCAAACTGCTAATAATTACTAAATTCTTTATGTTTTTTTATTTCATTAAATCAAGATTATTGCGTGCCATTCAGTTGAATGTCTTAATCGAGAAGTTCAAGGAGATAAATTAATTCTTACATGATAACCGTACATTATAAAATCGAAGTAATACCCAATTTAGCCATAAATAATGTAGGCGAAAAATGGCTGTTTTCAATCATCAATTTTTTTTTTTTTTTTTTTTTTTTTCTTTGTGTTTTATTACTTCTGATACATAATGTCTGGCGCATTACAACAAAGCAAGTGAGTTTTTATCGTAGACCGTAAATGTCCATTCGCTCAAAAGTACCATTATTCATATTCTTGAGTTAATTTGCATATGAAACTAGTGCGAGGATTATCCATGTGAATTATAGATGCACGCAAGTGCACACTAGAATGAATAAATTAATTTCAAGCAAAAAATTACAGCAGCTTCCGAAGCTTATGCTTCTTTGTGAGCATATCGAATAAAAAAAAGCTCAAACGCATTTTCAGTTGTCTGATTTGCATCGTTACGTATGCGTAAAACTTTGCCGATTTTTCCACAGATGAGATATAAAATCCTGTTGTTGTATTCCTTTGGTAATGAACTAGATTGTTTACAAATTTGTTTTTCAAACAAGAAAAATTCATCGTAAAGTTTGAAGTGATCAATTCCATAAGTACGCTTTTGGTCACAAAAATAAGTTAGCCCCGAGTCCCGCAGGCTCAACTTGAGTGAAAATAAAAATTTGATACACCTTTAATTCTAGGAAAAAATCGCTCCAACTGTAGCACAAAGGTTCCCCTTACTTTGTTGTTGGAAGAAACAAGACACGGCGTCGTGCAGCTGTTATCGTCGCGAGGGACGATTTTCAAAAAACACAAACGCACACAACGAAAAACAACAACAATTGTAAGGGAAAAAAAAAAAAAAAAAAGAAAAGAAAAAAAAGAAAAAGTGAATCACGAGAGAAGCCCCGATAAAAACATCGAGGTTGCGACACGCTGAGCATAGCAAAACCCGTCGAGCGCGTGAAGCTCGAGTATTATGATTCTACTCGTACATGATATATGACTAGTAAATCGAATGCCACGCGAGAGAGCACGGCATATTAGGCTGAGGATATACATGACGCTCGGGTCTTTTTTACACTCTCGCTCTCAGTCCCTCTCCCTCGTGTATAGCGAAAAGAGTTTACAACTCGTTCGTGAATCATGACTCTCTCTCTCTCTCCACGCCAAGCTGCGTCAGCTGATCGGTACACGAGCGGAGGAGCTGCAAAGATCGAGTTATTCCGATCGGCGTTAGTGTGCACTGTGTAGGTGGTGTGTGCGTTACACCACGCTCTCTCCCACAGCAGTGCCGGAGGTTCATTCATCCTCGGCGCACATTCCATTCTTTCGCGATACTTCATCCTCCGAAAAATCGGTTGGGCTAGACATTTCTAATCATACGTATGAATAAGTAAAATAACAAATTGTATACAAAATGTCACTGGTTTGCCGTCACTCGCTATTCACCCTGGCTTTGCTGATACTGTTTTCCGCGCACAGTACAACCGAGCAGATCGGTAAGTAATTTGTGTATATACCTATGTGTTGTTAATATAATGGCACAAATACTCGTTTATGTGTACACTCGGGGGGGTAGATTGCGACATCCCTTCGATCTTCGAAGTCAAAGTGGACGACAACAAAAAAATATTCGTGTTCGACGCGGAAATCTCGGTGAGGTACAGCAGGAGCAAGCTGGCCGTGTACAATTACGCGGATACGAATCAAGTCAATTTTTTGGTCAACGATTCCGTGATCGTTTTTTCGGGTAAGCATATTTTTGTCTCTTTCACATACGCAGCTGATTCTCGAACGAGACGACGTAAAAAAAATTTAAAAAAGTATACGTTGTGATTTTTTTTTTTTTTTTTTCTCCAAGGGCACATACTTCAAGACGAAAGAATCGACCTCAAAAAGGCCAAAGTATCGCTGGACATCGACACGAAAATCGCCGGAACTCTGCAACTCGCGGTAATCTAATATCTTTTTTTCTTTTCCACACACTCGCGTAGAGATAAAAATCACCATTCAAATTACTCACGATAATAATCCCGATGAATAATTCATGAAAGAACGACGCCGTGGCTAACTGCAAGGTGTACCTGGCTAGGCGTAAAAACGAGTGAGTAGTACACACAAAAACAGCAGCCCACACGCAAATTCGTATATCCTCTCAACAAGTGTATTTTTTTGTTTTCCAGCGACCGGGATCTGTCGAGGTATCTGCAAGCCGAGATTCTGGATCGAGCGCGGGTATGCCTCGAGTCGGCGGTGTGCGAGAACTCGAACGACGTGAAAAACGGGGTTGGCCGCCAGTACGATTTCGGAGATGTTGTTTTCGTGCCGTCGAAAAAACCGGCCGGCTCGAGGGACAACTTCAACGTCGAGGCACTCGACGGCGAGAACGTGCGGCCGATCGTGTACTCGGTCGGTCCGCAGGAGATGAACGACAAATTGCAGGTATAAATCATGGTTTTTTGTTGTTTGTGGTTATTTTAAATAAGCCCAACCGATTTTCCTCCTTTTAGTCGACCATCAACGTGATCGTGGACATAGCACTGGCGGAAATCGTCAAGGAGATGAAGAAGGAGTACAACGGGACCATCAAGATCCCAGACATCTCGGAGAGCTTCATCAGTCCCATTTTGAAGCTTAGCATCAAATTCAACGCGTACAACGGACACTTTTCGTAAGTTACACTCTAACGGTTCAAAAACGCTGTTAAACTGAAAATCACTTTTGCACACCTGCGTTGAGTCGCACGCGATCAGTGGCCATACATGGGCATCCAGATGTTTGGCACTTAATGCAAATTTCCTCGAAAAGAAGCCCAGCAGTGGTTTTTGGCCACAACGTTTCTGCGAGTGAGTAAAATGATTGGTGCGAATTTTTGGTTTTTCAGAGACATAGCGACGCTGTCGAGGGTAGGCAATGCTTCTTTTTCCCACACGGGCGAGCTGTACATAGCGTCGTGCGCCTTCGGCCTCTCCGAGGCCAATATTCGTTACAACAAATACTCGGTACAACCATATATTTATGTATACATACACAGTTGTCTTTTGTCTTTGCAAAAGTAATCGAGATTGTGTCGTGATGATGTCCCACAGGTGAGCTACATCGGCGTGAAATTGGGCGGCAAAGTGACGGCTGTAGTCGAGGGAGTGTCGGTGTTTGTGACCGTAGTGGTCGACTTTAGCGAAAAACCGTGCCAGATACGACTGATGGACCTGAGGCTGATCAAACTCGGCGATGTCGAGGTCGACATCACCGGTCTCGGGCCGTTCAACCGGCTCTACTCGATACTCGTGTCTTGGGTCACGAAAAAGTGGAAAAGCGACATCGTCGGGCAAATCGAGAAACAAGTTCGGACCACCGTCGAGGATTACATGAGGAAATTCGATTGCGAGAAGTTTAGGTACGAATGAACTTACAGTTGGTTCGAATGGCTGTAGCGTTGTAGGGTTTACTCTTACCTTTTGTACATATGCAGAAACAAAGAGGAAAAAAAAAAAAAGGAAAAACTCTAGAAATAAGGTTGCAGGAGTAGAAACAAAGTATATTCATAGGATTTACTATACGTAGAAAAATGTATTCGGTGATGCTCTCTAGATGTATTGTGTAGGTGAATTGTGATTGTACTATAACGATGTAGCTTAGCATGTCAGTTCCTGTGTAATACGATCATGAGAATCTCAAAGATTGCGAATAAAAGAGTTCTATGATAATCACTCGTGTGTGTCTTTTATACTTATTGATGTTTATAAATATACATATATATGCCAAAACGATCTCCGATTGCGGTGAATCAAATCGAGGTATAACAATATGAAGTTGGCCTGTATATACGGTATACATTTCACAAAAACAACTCTTATCTGCTAAAGTCGGTGAGCACACGATAATAAATTCAGCACGTGGGTTTTTTCGAATGATAAGAGCTTACGTATACGCATACGTATTGAATTGCCTATGTCGTGTATTTATTTATACAATCTAAATATACTGCCTCGCTAATCTGTATATCTCCGTATCTCGATACGCGCGTATCGTCATTTCGGCATTTATATAGCCAAGCGATCCACACAATGCATATAATGGTAAAAATGGCACCATCATAACTATCTTGTTGTATATTTATTAAACAATGTGGCAACGCCGCGCTATACTGGGAAGTATACAATAAACGTGCTTGACCGACGTCCAACGCGTGCTCGTATACCGATTACCGATTTCTCGGCAGTGCAGTGTATACCTATGACAGAAACGTGGGCAATCACATTTTTCATGAAGCAAAATTTTAGAAAAATGAAACGATAGGCGTTACAGGTACTTTGGTCATCGTTACGTCCAATTTATCAAATGTCCGTCCCTTTTATTATTTTACAATGCTCGTCTCCTTCGTATAGATGTAGCTCATGGCGCACACACACGCTCGCCGCTCCCCTTCCATGGGTCCCGCTCTTCGAAAGCGTGTGCTATAGTTGTTGAAACCAAGTCAGCCTTGCTATCGTGTACAATATAGATACATATCTGTCTGCGGCCGGGAAAAGCCGAGTTTGGCGCGCCTACGCCTTTGTTTACTCGAGGAAGCATTGTTATTTTTACTGAGTGTATACTTGGGCGCGGGAGGGTTGAAAAGTTGAGAGAAAGAAAGCGATAGGGGATCATTAAAATTTTTTATTTACAAGTGCCATCGTGACTGCGTTTCGACGCTCTGATTTAGCTATGTCGGGGCCACCTTCGTACCCAATTCTGGCAATTATGACGGCTCTATTGAGTTCATCGGTCCTTTCGACCGAGTGGTTGGGTGAGTCAAACGCCTCTCGCGTCAAAATACTTTATACAAAGCCATTGTCGCGCTCAGACTTGGGTGCGGATGCTTTTTCGATTTCTTTTTTTTTTTTTTTTTTTTTTTTTTTTTTTTTTTTCATGATTTGTGCTAACAAAATTATTTTTAAGTAGTACTTATAAGGCACGGTGCTTGACATTTTTTTTTTTTTAACTGGAACAATGCATGTATAAAATTTGTTTCTTCTCTTTATCATGTAATTACAGCGATGAATAGAAATTTCATTCGGCAAAACAAAGGAACTTTCTTTGGTAAAAAATAAAAAAATAAAAATAAAAAATTCCTTTCAAAACATTTAAAAGTTGATAAAATAGATGCACCCAAGTTTTTGCGCTACGATTATCAACACAAAAGAAAACTCAGCGAGTTTGTCGGAAATTCGTTTTCTTTAGCTATTTTTCTTTTTTTTTCAATTTCAGAATGCGATCCACCAAAAAGTTTCGCGATAGAGCTAGGAAACGGGAAGAAATTGCTGGTCCACGATGCCCAAGTCAACGTGACGTACAACAGGGACGAACTGGCGGTTTACGAGTATCCTGGTATCAACGACGTTAACATTCTCATCAACAATACCGTCGTGTCCTTCTCGGGTGAGGGCGTATTTATTAACTCACGAATTCAACAATACATCCATAATACGTATATATGTATATGTGTCCAACGCTCGCGTGTGATGTTTCTCAGGTCACGTGCTGTCGGAGAACGAACAAGTCGTCGAGGGTGACGCTGACAGGGTGTCGAAAATCTTCAACTCCAAAATCGCTGGTTTCGCGAAACTATTGGTGAACTTCTATACTATGTCCCATCGATTGGTGTTTCGTTGAAAAATCGGTCAAACTAACATTGCCTATACTTATTCAATTTCCTCAGAAGGGACGAGACAACAACAACGACCTACTCCGCACCTTGACCGATTACAGCCTGTACCTGTCGAGGAACCGCAAAGAAGCGTAAGTGTGTTCTCCCCCTTGGAGGTCGATTCGTGCGTAATTTCGTGTGAATTCCCCAGAGAACTGGAGCTGCCGAAAAAAGTCCAGGTGGAGATCATCCACGAGGCGGTCTCGTGCGTCAAATCCACCCTCGACGGGAAGATCGGCAACGTCACGGAGCGAGATCTGGACCGAGGCAGGCTGCATCCCTACAACTTCGGCTCCATCTCAGCCGTCTCGGGCGACCTCGATGACCTGCGCTCCAAGTCCTACAGAGTCAGCGCCGAGGATGCAAAGCTGGTGCTGTCGAACCTCACCAACTTGGGCCTTGACCACGTCGGCCAACACGATGCACTGCAGGTACCAAGCTGAAATCCATTTTTTTTTTTTTTTTTGGATCATCAAGAGACGTTGTGGGATTTTTTTTCACTTTCAGCGAGCCATCAACAAAATCGTCGACCTGGTGGTCGCCGAGCTTGCCGCGAGAATGCAACGGAAGAACGAGGGTAAGATCGAGATCCCGGACTTGAGCCAGAACTTTTCGACGGGTTCCTCCTGGTGGAGAACCACCGGCGAGTTTGGGGCTTTCGACGGCACCTTCGAGTGAGTCATGTTCTGAACTTTGACAATGAGCAAAACAAACGATACAATTACTCGTGCTTGCAGAGATCTGACCACCATTTCGAGGAGGGGAAACGTGTCCCTGTCCCGAAAAGGCGCCAACTTCTCGGCGTCGTGTGGCTTCGCCCTGCCAGTGTCGAGAATGAACTACCGCGGCTACGGGGTACGTATAACTACACGAGCATATCGTATATACTCGACGTGTAATAATAATATGTACCTGTGCGTGTGGTAGCTGAGGTACGGCGTGGCCAAGGTGAGCGGGAAGTTGTCGGCGAGCTTCGACGGTCTGAGCCTGTTGGCGTCGGGCTCGGTGGATTTCGCCGAGCGGCCTTGCAGGGCCGTTTTGCTGGACACCCGGGTCGTCGACCTCGGCAAGGTCAAGGTCAAGGTCACGGGCTTGGGTCCGCTCAAGATGTTGCTGTCGAAGCTGGCCACGTGGATCACGAAGAAGTGGAGGGACGAGATCGTCGTGGCGGTCGAGGACAAGCTCCGGGAGATCGTGGCCAGGCATTTGGGCGCCTTCGATTGCGAGAAGTACAGGCTGGAGCGAGCTGCTTTTTGAAGCTGGTCGTATCGTTGTTGTCGAACAAATCGAATAAAGTTGGCGATTTTTGCAAAGGTAAAAGGTGTCTCGAGGTGGTTTTTTTGGAGATTGTTATTCGTTGCAAAGTCTCTCGATTTTTTGCAAATAAGAATCGAATGTACAAGGAAAGGAAATGAGATTTAAAAGGCATTTTGTCAATCTTGATCACATTTTATTAATAAAAATACGAATTGAATCGGCTGTTGTCAAATCAGGCGGAAGTGAACTGTGTTGGACAAAGCGTTTCGGAGACAAATATTTTCAGAGTCCGATGACATCGTATCACAAACTCATTGGTACGTACATATACATGCGAAAGTATACTTGGTCGTTACTTTCTCTTTGAACTTGCACATGCCGACTCGTGGAACAGAACAAAAAAAAAAGCTCACGCGCTCTCGTCGTTGTCGAAGTGATCGGCATCGGTATCTTAAGTATAAAAAGACAGGTAACATTTAAAATTACGTGTTGCTTTTCATTTTTCATTAACCACTATTTATTTTACACGCTCGCACGAATAAATAGTACTCTAAAAACTCGCCCAAGTCGCAGGCGAGTTTGACTTTCTGTTTTTTTTTCTTCTTCTTATTCTTTTTTATGTTCTCTCGTTTTATTATATTTTCGTTTCGATGGGACTTACATTTAAAAACTATGATTTAAGGCAGTATGGCAATTATGGCTTCATTTTTAGGTTTCTAGAGAACAAGATACCGAAATGTTTAAAAAATTACCTTTATTACTTATTTCATTGGGATCTTGCAAATTCTTTTTTTTTAATTTTATTTTTTTATTTTTTTTTTTTTTTTTTTTTTTTTTTTTTTTTTTTATAAAAATATCAACTTAATCAAACAAATTTTTTGATTAACATTAAAATCAAATAATAATGCAATGAGCAAATTAAAAGTAACAAACCAATTTGAATTTCTAAAATAAATAAGTCGTACATCAATCGATGAATGTTAAATTATACTTATATGACTTGACAAGATCCATTTGCGACTTCACTTTGATAGATGCACAAAACAAGTTGATGAAAATAAAAAAAAAGAATTAATCTCACAAACTTATGTACATGGATATGTGCGTAATTTTCACTTCCAATCGGTAGGAGCTAGTTGATATTGGAAATTCTTACGTTTGTTATTTGGCAACTTTCCACCCTACGTCGAGCGACAGAACACACCTGTCATGTGATTTCTCACAAAGATAATATGTATAATATCACTTAAATCAAAAACAAAACGAAAGATTTTATAACTTTAACAACAACTCGTCGTCAGTCACGTTCGACCGAACAAAGTTAAATACAGTTTGTAGAAAAACTTTAAAATTTGAACTATAAAATTTTCAAGGACACTCCTAGTGTGCTTGTCCTGAAAAATCGTTCGGAATGTGTCTTCGTACATTATTACTGAGCAATCTAGCACTTTGATACACAGCTTGAAAATGTACACAATCACAAGATTTAACAGGTCTCCATCGACGTTCTTGTACCTTCAAATTATGCATTCAAATGAGGTAACACACTGTACGTACAGTCAACGTGACGCATATTCTTTTGCTTTGGTCAGGACGCATGTTTAATGCACGTTGCTACTGCATTATACACAATGACGACACGTTCCTGATTGGATGATTTCATTACAGACTAATTTAACACGGTGTGGTCAATGAAAAAATAATAATAATACTAAAACTAAAAAAAAAAAACCATTACAACTAAACAAATTATCCTATCGTCTTTGAGAAATTTTCCTTGTGCATATTGAAAGCAAATACTGTGGTTCAACATGTTATTAATAAAATAAAAGAGACGACCTCGAGTTCATCGATTCGCAGTATATTCTTTAACATGAAGGATCGAGAAGCAGTTTGCTTTGTTTTTAAAATTCATTACAAGTGAAGATTCGCTTATTGAGAATACCGTATGAAAAAAATGCACGATCTTCAATTTAACTCCTCAATCGGGAAGAAAAACAAAAAACAAAAACAACGTAAAACTTTGAGGGATAAGTCCCAGTCACGCAGACGAAATCCTCAATGAACGTTTCACTGCAACGTTTATTCGCGCCTTCCCTTTCAAGAGATGAGCATCAAACGATCAATCAGTCTATACATTAGAATATCAGCAGAGGAGGATAACCTGGTCCTCCTCACCAGTCCTACTGTTAGCGTTCACAATCCCCGTCCTCTTCTCGTTTATTCTCCATCACAACGTCGTCAGACTTATTATTGTCAGGAACTGCGTTGCTGTCGAGCTGCTGTACGGAGCTACTGCTGCTGCTGCAGCTGTTTTCGTCTTCATCGAGGGTCATCCTCTTTGTTTCTTCGTCATCGTCCTCCTCCCCGTCTAAGATGATCATCAAGTCTGATTCAGGTGGCGCTGATAAATGCGCTTCTTCCAGTTTCAGGTGTTCTCTCCGATCGTTCGATTGCTCGTCCTCGTCGTCATCTCGCAGCTCAGACGAGGATGAATAGCTGGACGACAGGTCGTTATCGTCGTCGTAGATGTCGATTTTAAAGCCGTATCTGCCGGGAAAGATTGAACGGAGAAAGTCTTTGCGTGTATTGTCGCAACCGACGCGTCTTCTCTTGCTTGGTGGCGTCGAGGGTTTGATTGTTTCGATGGAAGTGTCGCGCTTGCGTTTGATGGCTGATGGCGACAGACAGGACTGAATCTCCGAACTGCCGGAGGAGACATTGAGCACCTTTTGAGGTTGAAATTCACGTTAATTTTTGCTCTTTACAATAATTATTATTACAAACAGATTTTTAATTTACTCAAGCTGACAAATATTACGTTGAGATAAAGGCAAGTGTCCAACGAAATGGTTACCAAAAATGTACTTACTTCGGGCTCTGCCTGCTGCTGTTTGACCTCATCGGGGTCATCAGAGTCGACGGGGTTGCCGTCGTCATCACAAGCTCGATCTCTGGAGTCGTTCTCCTCGAGGTAAACACAGCCTTCGTCGGACCTGTTGCCGTCATCTTCGACGACGACGTCGTCGTCGTTTCTATCATTACAGACGAGCTCGACGGTGACCTCGTGGTAGTTGGGCTGTTCCAATGGTCGAGCGGTTGCTCGGCTCTCGGACCAATCGAGTATCGACACTTCGGACGGGATTGAGGGCCGATCGGAGCTCCACCTTCTAGGAATGTCAATCATTAGATTATCGAGTCATGTTGAATTACTTGGGGTCAACAGTTGACGGAGCTGGTAAACTGACCTTTGCCATCGAGACTGTCCGGAGACCCCGTGGAACGGTGAGTTTGGAGATACGTTGAGGACTGCTGGCTGCGTGAGCTGATTGAGCAGAATCGAGGACTGACGGTGCTTTCCGACTCGTACGTTTGGTCGCTGAAAAAACAGATGGACAATAAACTTTTGGTGACTGTCTGTGTGGCAAAATGGTGCACAGCCAACAAAAGAAGACGTAACACTTACGACGACAGCCGGGGATGAGGAGGAGAGGGGAAAGGACGTAGACAAGGAGGAAGAGTTGGTGACGGCAGTGACGGTGACGTCTCGGCCCGAAGCAGCTGCGGCTGCTGCCACGGATGCTGCAGTTGGTCTTTTTGGTCTTTGTGGTCCTGTCGCTGCGTCATTGTCGTTGCTAATGGGTATGAGGAAGGTTGACGAGGGCAGCTGGTTGTAGCCAAAGGCAGCGCCGGTGAGGTACTGGCCGGCCCCGACTGCATCAACGTTATAAAGCCCAGCATCCGGTCGATAGAACTCCGAGTCACTGCATGCTCCGCCAAAAGGTCGCGACGAGTACGATGCTGCTCCTGTACGCATAGCGAGTGTGGAGAGAGAATTTTATTAATCGTGGAACCAAAATCGTCGGGTCGTGGAAGACCAAACTAATATAACTATATAACTTTGCTTGTTAGAAAATAAAAGGAACCAAATTTTCATGATTGTCCCAGGTTTGAAATCACATTTCTCAATGAATTCAGCGCAGTGTGCCGTAATTTCGAGAAAAAAAAACTTAAAACAGTTACAAGGTAAGTTTGTAAGGTGTAAAAAAAATTATATATGCATATGTAATTCATTGCCGATATTATTAATGCGGGAAAGAAAAAAACGCATAAACAGAGAAAGCAACCTTAGCTTTAAAGGTAGGGTTTGTTTGTTCACAGCCTTTTGCTCGTATCATCAAATTAAAGGTACACATAAACGTACATGTAAGAGTAAAAATAATGAAAAAAAAAAAAAAAAATTTCCTCTACCGTAGCTCATAGCGAAGGGAGAGAAAAAAAAATGTTGATACAGAGCTGCTGTGCGCTGTCTCTATGTGTGGACGGCAACACGAACCTGCAATGATTCGTTGATCATCTGCGAGCGCATTTCCAACTCGTAGACTTGCATTCTCAGATCTGCGTTGCGCTCGCACAGTTCATATTTCAAGCGTTCTCTCGCCCCTGCAAGATTATTTTTTATTCGCGCTTAATGCGTTGCCTTCTCTCTCTCCCCTCTCTCACTTGGGCTATACACTACGTGTTTCAAAAGTCAACAACTCTTTTAAAAACGAATATCAAAACCTTCAAACTTCCTTGCATCCGTTTTAATAATCTACCGCCTTACGTTCTTTCATCATAATTATCGTCACACTGCGATTGAGAGTTTTAATAACTTGCTTTTAATCTTCGATCGCAAAATGACTCATCATTTTTTCTTTTTCTGGTATAGAGAAAACGTGAGCGTACCTGTCAGAGTTTTGTTCTTCACCCGCCTTTTGATGGTCCCTATGCAATCTTGGCACCATTTGCTCGACGGCGGATCAACCGTGTGACACGTCACATGGAAATACTTTTCGCACTTGGCACACTGTAATACGCTACCTGTAAGCACAACAACAATCAAATTAGACACAAATCAATCACGCGCATTCTACTACCGATTGGTTGTCCCAGAGGGTACAGCCGTACCTGGCTTGTTACACGCCACACAGGTGGCTACTTTGATCGTCACACCTCCAACTTTGTGCAAAAGTTTCCTCTCAGCACTGGTCGACGGCCTGCCCATCTCGTATTTGGTATCTCCGTTGGTCACGGCTTTCACCGCGGCCAGCGGTGTGCGCACCTTCTTTCTCAAGCTCTCCGTCTTCTCCCAGCGCGCCGCGTTCGCCTTCCTCTCGGCCACCTGCAAACAATAATTTCACCCCCGTTGGCAGAGACCACTCTGAGAACAGCTGAACCTCAATGAATAATGAACTTACGGTTTTCGAGTAATCGTACTCGGCCCTCCGCGAGCACTTGACCTTCCTTCTGGCGTCCTTCTTGACCTTGGCCAACAAATCGGGTATCTCGTCGAAGCCAAAGAGCCCGACCGCGTGCATGAAGCGCAGCTTGGGATCACCCGCCTCCTGGCCGAGGAAGCCCGGCGAGGGCGACCTGCTCGACGCCTCCGAATTGCTCGCCGACACCTTGACACTCCCGGGCACCAACATCTGCAGATCGGCGTCGGCATCCTCCTCCTCCTCGATCGGGCTACTACCACCGCTCAAAGCCGTAGCTTGGGTGATCTCGGGCACCAGGTCGAAGCTGTCCTCCTTCCTCTTGCGCTTCCTGCCGAGTTTTACATTCCCCGTGGCCGCGAGGCTCACCTTCTTGCGCAATCCGTTCTTGGGAGGCAGCCTTCGCAGCCCGAGCCCGTTGAGCTGCTGCGACGACCCCAGCTCCTCGCTGAAACACCCGACAGAACGTGTGTTAGTATATAATATACATTGCAAAGAGAGAGAGAGAAAGAAAAAGAGGGTAGAGGAACGTACTTGGAGCTGCTTCCGCGGTGGTGGTCCTCGTCGTCGTCGTGCGGGCCAGATAGGTGTCCATTGACAACTACGGTGCCCCCGTTGAGGCTGTTGCCGTTGTTGACCAGGTGCTTACGTTGGTTCGGCTTGCCGGTCGCGTCGAGTTTGATCACCTGGAGGTCCAGCAGGAGCTTGCTCAGCTTTATGTTGTTGTTGTTGAGCTTGTGGTAGAAGTGGCAGACCTGCCGGTCGAACTTTTCCTTGCGGTACTCGGGATTCTCGGTGGCCGGTCGCACGCCCATCTTACGCATCTCGGCGAAGAGGAAGCTCTGGAACAGCAATAAGTGAACACGACGATGAATACGAGTGCTACAAATATTTTCGACTGCTCGTTTTGGCATCATAAACTGAGCGATTGGGAACAATGAGTGCGGATTTTGGTCGAGTGTATAATATGCACTTGTAGTATGCGAATTTATAGATTTGCCCAAAACATTAACAGAGTACGTTTCATTGCTTGTGCACAGCTGATAAAGTGGACGATCGATAGGGTAGAGCATAGGTTTCGAAAGAAGATCGGTATCGATCGGTATGACATACACGTAGCTAGGTGTATATGAACGCCCGTGTGAATAAATGATAATAGTATGATACGCGAAGGAAGAAGAAACTGCTGTCCTAAATGCAAAGGAGCCAACTTTTACCCCCTCGTCTGAATAAACGTTGGCCCAAATTGGCATCGCGCTTAGCTCGGGCAGTAGGTCTACCGTGTTCGTAAATATGATCGATAATGGTGAAAAAAAAAAATCTTTCACAACGTTTATTACCATTAAGTGATACACGTATACCATTAAAACGGGATGAGTAACGCAAACATGTATTTATTATAAACTCATGAGGCCTCTCTACCAAAACGAAAATGATGAAAAGAGTAATTCGATCGATCTACCCCGTGGCGAAGTATATCAAGAGTAAAAACAACAACAGCAAAGGAGCTGGGGGGGTTGCACCTCGAAACGACTTTTTCTTACCATCCCAAACAAAAAATTGTTAATACATCAGGGAAGTTGTAAATAGCTGATTTTACAAATTGGTTGGTTTAAATTGTGCTGCAAAAAACAAAGCATCGCGCGTCCCCAAACGTAATAATAACAAGTAGGTTTATTATCAAGGGACACAAAGCGTAAAACAATTCGAATCTCTCGGGAGGCTGGTAAAACCAACGCGATCGGTCCTTTTTTTAATTGGACGTCGAACGTATAGAAATACCCGGGGTAGTTCGCGTTTACCCGGTCCTCGAATCAAAGTCCAATTGGTGCGAGCACATGTTTAAGGGCTACAATGATCATAACTGCGCTATACAGCAAGGGGCCCTTTTGAAATACCCATCGTATGTCGTACAATCGGAGGAGGCAAATCCTTGGGCTAAAAAATCGCTAGTCTGAGCGATCGCTTCGAAAGTGTATCCAAGTCGTTAGAGAAAGAGAAACTTTATACCCCGCATCCCGGTACACTTAATGCGCCGTTTTATTTCAGTCCTGCTGAATATCGTCACCATCGGGATATGTACAACGAGGAGCTAAGTAAAAGGTTCCCTTTGGAACAATCTCTCGACGTGAGTTCTCCTCCTTAGCTCATCGCGTTATACGTTCATCCAGCATTGTTTCTCTTTGCAATCGCCGTGAAAAATGAAAAAAGCGAGGGAGAGGAGCGGTGCGTCAATTTTGCTCGACTTTCCCATCGCTGCGTATCCCCTTGTATTTAATTTTTTTTTTTTTTTTCCTACTCGCAACACCCTTTTCCCCCGCCAAGGGAGTGATACGTAACAACAACGCACGCGAGAGCTTGAGAGCCAGGGGGGGACGGGGTGTATGTGCGCGCGACACGGTGGGTGCTTCAAAGCTCCGCTCGCGCTAAAATTCAAATCCCGAGCCCACGGGGCTCTGCTTCGCGTGCGCGTGTGTGTACACGTAAACGCGCCTTCCTCTCGGAAAGATCAATAAATGCCCGCCCCTTGGCGCCCGCGTCCCACTGCAGCCGCCGGCCGAAAAGCTCCGGCTTACAAATATACATGTATACATATACGCGCGGGCGTCTCCGAGGGTATAAGGCCTTTTTTTTTCATCTCGGTGTGGGTAGGTATACCCGTACACACGTATGCCTGACATATGGGCTTTTTACGTGCCGACGTTGTTACGGATGGGGAGCTTGCGAGCCCATGCACGTGTATATGTGGATATTTTGTCAATTTATCAAGCAAATATATAGGTGCGCGTGTAATCGAGTTGGAGATGTATTGTGATGACATGTGCGCTATGCCGAAGAGCTCCTCCGAAACTTTGGATTCACATATATGAAAGTGCCCAACCGAGGAACGTCCGTGGAATTTGTTCCAACGTGTAGTACTTATGGTAAAGGAGGAAAATGTGCCAAGTGTAATTTTGGGGCCTAATGACTTTTCCGATCATCGATACAAAAGAAGAAAAAAAAGTGTATGATTGGATCATCGGCGTGTACTGTGGTGTACCGGGGAATACATTCCCTTTGCCGCGGTGGTACAAGGTATACAATGGGCGGGCTGGCCGGAGCTATCATCCCCTGTCTCTATGCTCTCCCGGCTCTCGGTAAACTTTGAAAAGTTCCCGAGCACGCGCCGCGCCAGTTTGTGGGGATACATTGGCCGATGTGCTTTTTCTTTTTTTTTTTTTTTTTTTTTTTTTCATGATTTGTGCTAACAAAATTATTTTTAAGTAGTACTTATAAGGCACGGTGCTTGACATTTTTTTTTTTTTAACTGGAACAATGCATGTATAAAATTTGTTTCTTCTCTTTATCANCCAGTTTGTGGGGATACATTGGCCGATGTGCTTTTTCTTTTTTTTTTTTTTTTTTTTTTCTTCCTCTCACGGTCCCTGCAGGTCCATCCCCACCCATGTGGTTCACGCGAGCGGCAAATTGCGTGGTTTGACGACAGTGCGTGTCTGCAGCGTTGACTGTTGCGAGTATTAAAATCAGGCGCCTATGGGTGTACACCAACGAGGTTTAGGGCAAAAGAAAAGGCATTTCAGATTGTCTTACCAGTTACAGACCTGCAACGATACGAACCGTTTGGGGAACCATCGTAATTAAATTTCATCCTAAAAAACCTTAAACCTCGGCAAAACAGGATCAATGGGAGAAGGAGCACCGTCGACCGATTGGACTGGAGAATCAATTACTCGTATTCAAGGGAGGGAGAGAGTGTGTGCCCATTCAGCAAAAGCCATCGCGCTCCGATTGAAACTTGCGACGATGATGAGTATATCCGCGGATGGTCTTTAAGCTAAAGGTTTAAAGGGGGGGGGGGGGTGTATTACGCGTATTGCAAATTCATCGGAGTCCTTTTTTTAGTGTCTAAAGGGCGACAACGAGAGGTGTACGAGCGCGTACAAACATCAAGTACATGATTGAATGTATATGGGTGATGCTCCTCGGGGAACTCTGCCTGGAAACTTTATACGAAAGTCCATGGGGGGTGCACGTATATAGGTACGTAGCGAGAGAGCAGTGGAGGTAGTGCTGATGGTGCTCAACTTGTGCATCAGGTGTGTACATACATGGTTACGTAAGCCGGGAAGGGCAGGTGACGGGGAAAATTACATTGCAAGTGTCCATGTATAGTTTGACGGCAATTCAATAAAGGTATATATGCATACAACCGGCAGATTTGTCATTTTCATCAAGGATTTCGTCGGTCGCGCAACCGAGTCACTTTGTTTCGTCAACTCATTCATTCCGATATTGTATACGTGCAAGTATCTGTTACACACGATGTTTACACTGGGACCCACAAGCGAATTGTTTATTCCGCTGTAATCACCGCGGCGCTGATCGTTGATTTACCAGATTCAAAGATTGCCCGAGTGGAAAAGTTCGCCCCGACTTGCTTGACGCGTGTACGCGAACGAGCACTTTTCCTCCCACGGTTGAGTTGGAAAACTCAAAGAGATAGCAGCCCGTTATCTGGAAATCGTCGCCGTTGGCGAGCAGTTGATTTTCCAGTTGATAACATTTTATCATTTTCGGCAACAATCGAGTCGTACGCGCCAAACAACAACCGTAAAGTTTCCGAGCTGAAGCCACTTGTCAAACGAGTACGTGCGACACAATGATATATATATAATTATAGGGTACGCCGTCGTTGACTTTGCGCTTCTTATCGGATGTTTTACTTGCAGGTTCAAAGAGGTACACGTATATGTACGGAAACGTAGACCACAGGCGGGACTAGAGCGCGTTTTGTGTGGGAATGAGAAAAAAAAGAAACAGTGCACGCCAAAATAGTGAGCTTTTATTGAGGTTTCGCCATTTGTCGTGTCAGAGCTGTTGCAACTTCATTCTGGTGACAAGACAATTTCAGACAACCTCGAACGAAGAGCAAAAAAGTACGAGCTCTCATATCGACAGCGGAGGAGGCGATCAACACACTGTACGACCGGACCGCGAAGTGGAAACTTCAGCGATTTGCCCTCGGAGTTACCGAATATAATGTTTCGCCTTCAATAACGCACGAAGCGAACAATACCGAAACTCGCCGGACCGAGTTGAGCCGCGCTGGTGGGGCCCGTGGCTGCATGCATGTAGGTATATAGAATATACACAATCCCGAACTTTCGGCCAAAACTTTGGAGCGGAACTCGCCCGGATCCATGAACCTATATGTATACACCTACATCCTTGCCCTTTTTTCTACCCCCTTGAACTCTTTGGTCTATTTGTGTGCTTCGTTGGCTGATTGGTTTCCAATTACCCTCCTCGATTAGATACAGAGGTACCTATTACCTTTTTTTTTTTTTTTTTTCTTTTGTTCAATTAATAATAGTTTTTACTACGCAGTTACTCGACGATCGCGTGAAAGTGACGAAAAATCGATGTAACATCAGAGCGTCACACGACGAGCTCACACTCAAACGCGTCGATCGATGCATGCATAATACACTGCGTATAGTCACGAGGTGCTCTACTCTCCTCTCCCCAACCAAATTATCGAAATGACTGCACGACCATGTATCGATGCGGGATACCTGTGGATATAGTGCACAGTTTCACCTGATGCACAGCGTAAGATATTAAACTATTTGCAAAACCCATAGGCCACCCAACGAGGGAAGGAAGTTCAATGTTACCTTGGCACATGGCACCCCCACCAGAGAGACCCACTGAGAACAAACGTGCTCAAAGCGAGTTTATGTAGCCCCCAAGATGTAACGAACTAGGTGTTGTAGGTATATACGCTTGTACGCGGTAACAAGGTCATCGCTGCGTGAGAGAGAGAACGAAAAAAGAGCGTCATCCCCTTCCCTGGGCTCGCGGGTACCTGCTTTATCGGCGAGGGCTCGTGCGCGGATTTATAAATAAAATGTACAAGTGTCGAGAGAAAGAATAACGCACAGAGATATCTGCGGAGCGCGCGCGCACCAACGCATTTTCCGTTCGGCTCCGGGAGGAGAAAAGGTGTCTGTGCTTGTGTGTATATATATATATATATATATATATATATATATATACAGCATACATTGGCAGCTGCTGTTCACAGCTGCGGGCTTGTGTATGGGATCCCGCCGTCGTTTGCGAATCGCGGATTTGTCTTTGATGGCTCTCGGACGCAGTAGGTATACATATGGAGTGTGAACGAGACATGAGTCGTCGCGTACCTGAGACTCGGTGAGCTCCTTCATCAGGTTCTGCAGCCTCGAGTCCATGTCGAGCAGCACCTTGTCGTTCGGCTTTCTCTGCAGGTACTCGTTGTTCTTCTGCACATGGAGGAAAAAGAGAAATATTATTCATCCATTGGTTTTTCACGTAAAAAGTAAGATAAATCATAAAATGCGCAATTAAAGATTTTATTTGGAGGCAAGTGACGCCACTCCAATACCACTCTAACGTACAACACCCCGTGAATCCCGATACGTCGATCAAACTTCCAGACATTTATGAAATCATTGGATCACAGTGTGTTATGTACGGCATACAACGATCAATTTCAATCTACACCAAATCCAACTTTGTGAGGAGGTGTTTAATATATGACTCTCTATTGTCGACATGGTTTTAGTATAACATACATCTACAATATTTAATTTGAAAAAAAAAATAAAGAAAATGTTTGAACACACGATTGGATTTACAGTGATGTTTGTTAATTTCGCTTATCCGATCAGATATGCACACAAGTACAGGTAGGTATCGTGGATGAATTAATTTCAACGCTGTATGCGCTATATATACATCATAGGATTTAAATAATCGCACAGTGCAAGTAGGTACCTGCGACACAACAACATGCAGAGCTGATGGTAAAAGATGCAACGTTGGCAAATAGTTTGACAGGGGCACATGCATACAACGTTGGCGTCAAACAAACATATAAGTACGGGAAGGGGGGGGTGAAAAAAATGTTTTTTAAAAAGTTACACAATTACCATGCCAGCAGTGGAAAAGCTATACCTATACACCGGCATTTGCTCGCCCGTAACATATATACATGTACAAGTATATATACACACACCTAATCCAGCGCTGCTCTGGGTTGCGTAATATTATTAACGTGTATATGTGTGCATACATAGGCGCGTATAAATGTACATGTGGATGCTCGGTCGCATCGGAGACGCGGAGCGATAATTAACCAGTCAATTGAAATCGGAGCGGCAGTGCAGGCTATAATATATATGTATATACCGAGCCACCCAGGTGCTTTTTGTACATACATTGCTTTGTTCCTTGTTTGCGAGTACTTTTGTACACGTGTATGTAAAAAATTGAGAACTACAAGTGTACCCAGCATAACTTTCTTCACCTCCCCCTCCCCCGCTTTGTGTGGTACAAAGTCGAGGCATGAGAGTGAACTTGCTTTCTTTCGCGCACTTTTCTCCCATGCTCGCTCGTCGTACTGATATCATATTTATGTATCATTGCTAAACGATGCAAAAAAAAAAAAAAAAAAAAAAAACAATTTGTCAGACCTTGAAACCGATGACCTTGATATACATATGTACATGTGTACATGGCGCACACGTTACATTAATAAAAACAAGTACGGCTTTCTTTATCGAGGCAGAGAATTTTCGCCTTACCGGTGATAACTTTGCAATTTCTGTCGTTGCGTACGCAAGTGGTAAAATTGAAATTTTTAAGAATAAAAAAAAAAGGCCAAAAGTGCTTGCAACAAAGGTACTGTCTCTATGGGGATGAAAACTTGCAAAAAAAGTATATAAAAATGTTGTACGTGCGAAAACGACGACAAAAGACGGGTCTTGTGTGACGCATCTCGATTCCACGCCACCCTGAACACACACACACACACGAGCACGTATACATTAATTGGATACACGCTCTTGAAAATGTTTGCTCGTGATGAAGGGTGAGTAAGTTAATCTCGGAAAAATCATCCACCATGGATAAGAAGAGCATCGAGGTAGGAGGGACAATTGTCGATAATCGAAAGAAAATGCAACCAATATAGATACATGCGAGTTTGCTCCTCTGATGCTGGGCTGCGTCTTGATTTTCTTTCGCACTAGATGACGATAATATATTATGTTACGGACGACGCTTGCGCGCAGCAGCTCTCTGGCGACTCTCTCGAAACAAATTTTAGGTACATATTTATATACATGTGGAGATGATGCGTGTTTTTTACACAGAGCCTCGTACACTTAAGTACGTGTATGTATGTAAGGTAAGCGAGACACGCGCCATGTATTGTAGAACAAGACAATACGCTGCGATAGGGTGTACGAGAGAGTGCGTGTATAACCAGCGAAAGATAAATTTAGGATGAATAAATGAGTGCGCACACGCCTGACGCTCGATCGGCTCATCTATGCGAGATAGCTATGGTTGATCAGAAGCCGGAACGGGCCAAAAGGGACTCTGACGTGAGAATCGATTAGAGAAAGGTGGTGGTTGTATTTTTATCGGATTTTTTCCCTCGCTTTACAACTACGATATACGATAGGAATGAAGTAGTTGCTTGCTTGCCGAGTAAATACATACGTGTAATTACGGAACACAATCCAATGATTGACAAATGAGGATCTTTTCAACTTAACAAACGATCAGTGAGTGCGATCATTGTTGTTGAATGACAAAAAAAGTCGTCGTGCTTTTCCTCGAAACAAACAAACGTTTTGGCACCCTCGCAACTTTAACGTTTCACCATTATCATGTACATTTACGTCAATCAGCTGTACAGCCCACGTGCACTAATGAACAAGTGGAGATAACGAATGGAACTTCTTATTAACGCGATGACCGATTACAGCTAATACCTGTGTATACGTGCTTTGGACACTTGTGAAAACTCGTCCCTTGATTTTTCCAGCGGTATAACTTTGTACCGGTTTCCATATTCCCGGTACACCCACGTGTGGAACGACAAATGCTCAGCTAATACCTGGAGGAGCTGTACTCGTAAAATGCATGTGCCGGCTGATTATACGTGCACCGTGTACCTATTGTATATACTTTTAATACAATGTAGGTACGCGTATAGTAGCGGCCAGAACCGTGTATAACTTTGGACTCGCGTCACGCGTGCGTAGGCAACGACAGGTACACTTATAACTGTTATGGAACAACCGATCGTGTCACGTTTGCGGATACCGACCAGGTTTAACTAGAGATTTCTTAAACTTGGGGAGGGGGGAACAACATACCTTTATCGCAGATACCACGCCAGCCAACTGATTGTTGAGCTCCTCCGCTTTTCGGAACAGATCGGGAACGAAAGTTGCCATTTTCCGGTCGAAGAACTTTGGTCCCGCGCCGTGTGCTCCGAAAACAATATTTCCTTCCTTCTACTTCAACTGGAAAACAAATGCAAAAAATTAACAAAATGCCGGCCTCCGGGAGCAATTACACGATATTGAGCACTTACTTGCAAAATAATCGTCCAAGGTCCGCAAGGGGCAAAATTGTTCAACTACGCGATGAGCGTATGGCCCGTCTGGAGGTGCGGTACCCCGACGCTGGTGTAATGTCTCGGCTCTCGGGTGTCCGCAAACGTCGAAACGACGAGCGTCATAACTCCGTGCCCAACGATCCGGTTGCTTTTGTCACAATAAATCAGCAACAACGCAATTACCGCACCGTGCGATGTGATATTATTATTATAATTATTATTGTGATCCCACCCTTGGTCAAGGCAGGAGGACGACGGGCGCCGTGGCAACGAGAGAGTGGCCGCTCGGGAAGCGGCGAGCCGACTGGTGCACCAGAGGAGGCATGAACACCGCGTACATACCTACAATCGTGAAGAGCCGAAAGTTAGGAGTTGATAGAGCCGCCTCGTGTCCTATACACGTACATATAAATATATATGCACACATACCTTATGCGCGTGTGTGTCCGGAGCGGCTCTCTCTATCCCTCTCCGAAGGCTGGGTGTGCATGTGCGCGCGTCGACGCTGCTCTTCGGGGGAAAGGACACACGAGGCCTCCAAGCAGTCCAAGGCGAGGGTGACGATTACTATATTTTTATTATCATTGTTGCTCTCTTGTGGCACTCGTGGGTGTAAGCATCTGTAACAAAAAGTTTTTTAAACAAATGAGCCTGAGAGACATATACGTCGGGGTTTGCAGTGGAAGCGTGCAGCGGAAGAAAAAAGAAGAAAAAAAAAAAAAAAAAAAAAAAAAAAAAAAAAAAAAAAAAAAAAAAAAAAAAAAAAAAAAAAAAAAAAAAATTATGAACACAGAGAGAAAAGTACCTATATATGTTTTCCAAAGTGGGGTACACGTTATGGATTTTTTTTGTTTTATCGCACATTGATTGGGGATACGACGAATACTAATCGTATAGTGTGTACACCAAGTTTGTACTATATAGGTACTGGGAACTTTGGGAAATCTGTTGAGGAATAAACATCGGAGCGAAAAGTTTTAATTTAATTGCACCCCGCAGGTACAAGTGTGCAGCGAGAACAATATATTTGCATCTGCGACAATCTTGCATTGAAAAAAAAAAAAAAAAAAAAAAAAAAAAAAAAAAAAAAAAAAAAAAAAA